CCGGTCTACGAAATCTCACGAAAGTTTCTCTGCATCTTCAACTACTTTAAATACTGAAAAATCTAAAAAATTAACAGTATACTTATTTAAAGAACATTAGAAATAATGACAATAAAAAATAATTTTGAAGGTATATTACATTTCAAGGAAACAAAATGTTTTTAAGGTAACTTGATCCCAATTGATTTATTTCCATCAAAGAAAGCTACCCACTCCTTGTACAATTAAGAAGTATATAGGCCGCCACAAATCGCGTACGTAATCGTTCATCACATTTAATTAGCTGCTCCGTTTTGTGACAAAGGAATTTATAATGACTAAAAAAGGCCATACGGCCAAAAAAGAATGAAATAAATATTTTTCTTAACAAAACATTCCGTTGTTCTATTTATAGAGGTACATATATGAAAAAGTGAATCACTATAACACTTAAAATACACTTTTGCATTTGAAACGCTCTGAATTTACCATTTTTATAGAGACAATGGGAAAACAGAAAAAGATCTCTTAGTAAAAAAAATAATAATTAAAGTGTCATCCATGACATGTGGTCCCACTAAACAGTTTCCAATTACTCCCATCAATATATTAATGATTTTTTTGTTAGTGTTTTGTCTGAATAACAGCATGGGGGTTTTTGTCACTTGAAATATGCAAATTCTATTATTTGGAAAGCGGTTGGCGTAAATCCGAACAGCTTCAGAAACATTACATTCTGCAAGTCCGTACATTAGATGATTATCTGCAAATTCTTCATAGCTAAAATCTTCCATGATATTGAACCAACAAATGGTGACAAAATGATTGACGACAAATATCTAACTGCTAATTATACATACTTGTTGACGGTTATCTCAATTTCCATAGAAACCAAGATTTTTGATACAATACGTGTATGTTGTTAATAAAATTCGATTTTCTCAAAAACGGTACAAGATATTGACTGATATACGGCATACCTTTTTGTAGCAAAGTGAGAGGCGAATAGAACTATGAAAGAAAAATTCTAAATTTGGCAACGCTGTCAAAGATGCATAAATTTAAATGGATAATTTCGTCTGCTCCTGTATAATCCAGGCATATTGAATATCAGTTTAAACTTGAAAATGAACATTACCATGAGTTACTTTAATTGTCCCATTGTTGTGATGGTAACGACTTAGAAGTTATCATTGGGATTTGTTTTTTAAAGTTCTTTCTTTGAAGGCGAATAACTTCACAACGAAGCCCGATAGGAAATTTTTTTATGAAGTACTAGGTACTACTGAACTATTTTGACCTCCTCTATATATCCCTTCATTTTTGACATCCGGACATCCTTTTACCTTAAGTAGAAGAGCGGATAAAATAGTTTTAAAATTTCAAATTTTGTTTTTTCTGTTGTTACATACATCATTTACTTTCATATCTGCAGTTCCTAAGAGATTTCATTGAGATTAATGTGATTCACCTACAACCCGAATCAAATATATCCCGTATTATATTAAAATGCTTTTGTTATACTCGTACCACGTATTCGTTAATCAGTTTAATGCACCTGTCCTTTCACGGGATGACAAATGAAATGTATTGTTTAATTCTTTATCATCACTTACCGGTATATTTTTCACATTCGAACGCCTTCAAGGGATGATATATTATAGGGCGCTTTATTATTAACTATCCGCCCTTGAGGGAAAAGGAACAAGAAAAAATATCAAAAACAAGATTTACGATCTTATGTGCTATTATAAACAATGCTGCTGGTGATGAGTTTCATTTGATGTACAGAAGGATAGTAAGTGGACCCGTGGATAAATAAAATCAATATGGACGATGGGTAAACTGTTAAAGGGCTTCGGTAAAAATCAGACTTATATTGAATTGAAACATTCATAAAAATTTTTATGTAAAATTTCACACTAGATTATTGGTTCCTTTGATGACAGAGAAAAATGTAAAATAACATCTTACTTTATCTTAACAAGTAAAGTTACATTAAGCATGTAATTTTAAACTTTTTGTGTAATTCTCCCAAAATGTAAATTTGTATTATCGACATTATGCATATTTATGCCAACTAAATCGTAGAGATTTATATAATTTACACAATGTTACATTATTTGCTTACCTCAGTAATTATTTATCGCATATTTACATAGTTAAAACACTGCTATACAGGGTGTGGCGTGTATAATCTACAAAAATTAAACTACAGCTTTCTAACGATATTTGTAATAGAAAAGTCTTATACGAAATATTTATATTTTTGCGTTTTTTTTATAAATTAAAGTTCAATTATGTATCAAAATATTTTCTCTGGAACGGTCCTGTAGACCAGCCGCGTAAACAAATCGTCGTTGAAAGATAGAAAAATACTTTTTTCAATGCAAAAGTACAAACTAAGAAATATATATATAAAAAATACTAATATTTTCTTATTATAATAATTAATTACTATCTTAAATGCATTGTTGTTACTGCAAGAGTTTGCAAACAAAACCACATCCGTAAGCATCTGTAGTTGCCAACTGCGTGCACTAAACATTCTCCATTAAAATTTGGAACAAAATGAAATAAAACATACCATTTCTAGAGAAAATGTTGAAATTGATCCCCATTAGCCCGCATACAAGCATGACACCGAGGCATCCAATTTTGGCGAATATTTTCCCAAATTCCAGGTATTCCCCTAATTGTGTCAGCAGCTTTAAGTATACGGTTTCTCAATTCTTCAACCGTGGCAATTGGAGTATTGTAAACCAATGAGTTCAAGTGACTCCAAAGATAAAAGTCCATTGGAGTTATCTCGGGTGACCGAGGTGGCCACGGCACAGGAACAAAGCGTTCAATCCATAGCTGAGAAAACATTTCATTCAAGTGTTGTTATATCTCGAGTACTGTGTGGAGGTGTCCCATCTTGAAGATAAAACATGCGTGCCCAAACTTGTAATGCCACATCGTCCAATAATTCAGGCAAGCGTTTTTCCAAAAAGACGGCATATGTTGGTCCATTTAGTCTTCCTTCAAAGAAATAAGGACACACAGGTACATCGCCTATTATGCCAGCTCAAACATTTACCGAGAACCGATGTTGAAAATGAGTTTCCCTAATCGCGTGAGGATTTTCAGCGCCCATATGTGCATATTATGGAAATTCACATCATCATAGGTGGGATTTCGCCTCATCTGTTACACAAACATAAGCAAGAAAGTTTACTTGACTGGCACATTGCCGTAAAAACCATCTGCAAGAAACCCGTTCGTTGATCACAATCCGGGGGTAAAATCTGTTAAACTGATTGCAGATGATAGGGGTGCAACAGCTGGCGCCTTAAGATGTGCTGTACGGTACGAGATGTTGCTGTGCGAGTCGCCGACTATTAGTTATTGAGTATTCGTCAAGATTTTCCAACACTGCGTCTTCAATATTAAGGTTCACTTGGTGACCACGTCCTTCTCCTCGAGGTATAACACTTCCCGTATCTCGCAGCCGCTGAACGCACTGTAGGATTGTATTTGCACATGGGAGGTGGCGTTATGGTCATCGTTCCGGGTACAACCTAGTCGCCGCGAGCGCATTTTCTCCGGCTGCACCATACATTAACACCATATCGACACGTTCGGAAATAGTAAATGCATTGTTTTCTCGGTTCATTCTAAAACTAGATGTGCACAAACTAAAAAATTAAGCAAAGTAAGAAATAAGAATCTCGTTTTTAATGTACTCGGCACGCTATTCTTACTTTTTAGTTCTTTATAAAAATTACACTATCGTGGAATTACAAAATAAAAACTTTTGTCTGGAATCTTTCACCTTTTAACCCTGATGGATCGATGGACGATGCTTAATATTTAATAATTAAGTTAATAATAAATTCAATACAAATACAAAATCAGTTGACTGCATAAATTTTTTAACAATGTAACCTAACATTCTTTTGTATAATATAACACAAGGACGGCCTTCATTTTCGTTGAATAAATGAACTTTAATTTACAAAAAAAGAACGCGAAGATAGAACTTTTTCGTATGACTTTTCTACTACAAATATTATCAGGAAGCTGTAGTTTAATTTTTATAGATTATACACGCCATACCCTGTATTTTTATTCCACAAATGAATCTAAACATGCCTAGTGAAAAACTAGCACAATTCTCCACAGATGCACGGTAACACCACACTGGCTGGTCACATGCTTAATCTGATTGGTTGAGCCAAATCATGTTCACATTATTCGTATATTTCCATCAAACACCAACAGGATTAGAAATAATATATTTTAAAATGTAAAGGTACAACGTACATATATCAAACAGAAATTATACCCTCAAACTTGTAATTGTACAGAAAGTATAATCTAATGAAAAACTATTGAACATCTAAAATTGAAATTGGCAGATTTGAATTTTCGAAGAAGTAAATTACTTTCAGCTGATATATTTTTTAGTTCCTTTATTCTCAAAAAAATCCAATCTTTGCTGCCAAATACAAAGTGTCTCTGGTGAAATATTCTTTTCTATATAGTATTATGTTGTTTAAAGATGTTTTTTACGATTGACTTATTTTTCGCAATATATGATACATATTGGATATAAGATGAATATTACTATTGGACTGTAATGATATCAGAACACGAACTGGTGCTTATTTTAGCATCTACAGAGGTGGAAAATATTTTGATTATACATATAGGAATGTCTCCATTTTTATTGAACATCGGGTAATACAACAGAGCACAAGAATTTAATAATTTTCTGATGATGTGGGTTTTAATATGCAATGTTCTTGCAATATGTTCTAAACGGAAACAGGATGAAGGAAATGTAATATTAAGCAAAACATCTTCTATGGGCATGGATCCGAGCAAACTAGTAAAAGTTACAAATTCTCTGCCTAAATAACTCAAAAACCACAGATCCAAATGAAACATGACGCAGATCTTTAGATTATCGATTGCAAACATTTCGTGAAAGAATAGTTTCATCCTCAGATGAATCAGATTCACTTTCTAATTACTCCTGATGATTATGTGGCTGTGAAATCGACGATTCATCTTCTAGAATACTTTTATCGCTGCTTATTCCGCTCTCTTCATCAGGGACATATTCCGATTCATCAGACCCTACAAACGGCTCCTCCTCTGAATCACTTAAGTACTTCAGAGCTTCTTCTTCAACCTCTTTTTGGGTAAGTATACGACGACTCATTTTTCTGCAATGTAGAAATAATACTACTGCTGGGACATTTTTAATCTCAACAAATTTACTAATGGGACAAAAAAGTCCCATTAGAATAAATTATCAGATAGTGATGAAATTACGTATACATTTTTTTGTACTATTACTTACCTAACAATCTTTCAACTTTTAGTAGCTCTGTACACTTTACTTTATCAAAAAACACCACTATTTTTACAGTAATTAGCAGCAAACACGGCTCTCACTACCTAAACACCAGAACTGTACAATCTTAGGTTAGGTTATTAGATATGTAACGTTGTCAGATCGTAACACGGACTATAAATTACTGATATTTACAATTTACATGTTATTTTGGGAAGTTTTAATCCCGATAGTAAAGATGATTCGTACTATGGGACATATAGGCCCCCACAGTAGCGAAAGGGTTAAAAGTATAAGCGCTGAAGATGTCTACAGAAGCTTAGTATAGCAAAGAAAATTGATAAAATCTAGAAACAATCTAATTGGAGTTATTTCTTAGCATAATTCAGGAACATTTCTAGAATTAATTTGATATGCTTAACACCTTTAAAGTAGCTTAACTAACAGCAATATTTCATGAATTACATTTATCGTGCATCAAGTTTGTGCACTATGGTGACATTTTCTCATTTGAATACATTTTCTTCTTAATTGAGTGTATTTGCAATTTGACTATTCATTTTAATGTAAACACCTCATGTTAACTAAAAAATCAAAGTATTGTTCATGAACAATGTTCCGTAACCACTCCTGTTAGCTAACAATGTTCGCGTCAGTGTGAACCCGGTATTAGGAATGTTAAGTATATTTAGTTAAACGTTGTTTTTATTTCTCAAAATGATTTAAAAATAGCAAACAAGCTCGCTTGTTATTCTGTCACTCCTACTTGGAGTCATGTCACACTCACGCTCACTTGTTATTACATGGCGTTATTTGATTACATGCAAATTGTGAAATTTAAAAAAATAAGACTGATTTGTAATTCGATTCATCACTTTTTATCCTCGTTCAAGCCTACCAATTATTGTTCTGAATCATTGACTGAAAAACATTCGTTCAAAGATTACATCTACTGCATGTGAAAGTTTTATTCAATGCACTTTACAAACTGTCAGTTTCTGAATGCCGTTTATTATAATTATACCAAAATATGTGAGAAAAACTGTTATTAAAAATTAAAGCTATAAATATATGAGACTTCTCCGTCGTGAATGTGTAGCGCGAAGTATATTATTACGCCAGATAGCAGGTGAGGCAGATGTGATGGTTCAATAAACGTCAATTAAGGCAGCCAGCAATGAAAGTATTCTTTGATTTGATCTGTGCTGCTAAAATGATACTGAGAAGGTATGGGGCGCCTTGGTGTGAATTTAAATTTTTTTAAATAATATCAACTGCACGAGGTGCATATGCTTTATGTCAATGCAAAGTAAATATTCGATAAATAGTAGCTTCTAATTTTCCTGCTAATCGCCAATTATGATTTATTAAATGTTTGTTAAGATTCTGATTAAATAGAGAACAATGGCAACTTTTACTCCTGAAGTATATTGCAATAATTGTAATATAATAAATGTATATGGTGTTCAACAGCAAAATGCAAATATACATGCAACTATTCATAGAACTTCGCGACACAGAATCGATGTTATGAGCTCCACTTACATTATAATTTATTTTGCGCTTGACAAAAAAGAAATGTAGAAGAAAATCTCTCACTAAGTAGTGAGTACTTGGAAAATAATTTTATCCTTCGTTTGGAGTTACCACAAAACATGATGAATTTTACGCGAAACTCGCTTTCATTACTATGATTCTGTATATTGATGGGGATTTACTGAATTACTATGGATGTATATCCGAAGAAAATATACCGTTTTAAGTACAATGCCGGTTTTCAATAAATAACATATTAAAAAATCATCCTGGATAGTGTAGATGACAGTACCAATAGCACTTTATTCAGACCATAGAATTAATTCTCTTCTTAAAAAGAAGATCTACTATTAATAGAATTGTTAGTTCAAATCTTTCTGTATAGATGGTATGGCGATACTAAAAATTTTTTGTTCCCCGGAACGTGGAAACAGTCCTTCTGAAAGATTGTTAAATTTTGAGTAATTTTGGTAATATAAAGTTTTTTCCTATATTTACTTATTTTCGAGATATGTCTACTTCAATGCAGTGTATGATATAACAGGAAAATCTATTACTTTATTTAAATCACACTGAGACAAAATATTCTTTTAAAATATTGTTATATAGGCTTTATTCATGTCACATACTAACTAACAAACAATAAATTGTATAAAAAACGAATGATCAACTACAGAAAAATAAATTACAATGGTAAATCTTATAAGGGGCAGAGACGAACCGTATTTTTTCAATTGTTATTAAAAAATGGTAGCTCATGTCATTTGTTTAAAATAAAAGAATGACAGATGACTCATATTAGTTTTCCAATAATTAAAGTTTTATCAGTTTGCGTCTTTCAATTTAACTATACTAGTTACACGATTTACCAATGTACAATTTTTTTTCTGTAGTTGATAATTTATTGTTTGTATGTTAGTATGTGGTGTGAATAAAGTCATTATAACAATATTTTAAAGGAATATTTTGTCTCGGTGTGATTTAAATTAAATAATAGATTTTCTTGTTATATCCTGCATTGCATATTAAAGTCGACATATCTCGAAAACAAGGGAAAAACTTTATATTACCAAACTTACTCAAAATTTAACGATCTTTCAGATGGACCGCATTTTCACGTTCCAGGGATCAACAAATTTTTTAGTATCGCCACGCCATCTATAAAGAAATATTTGAAGTAAAATTTGAATTTGAAGCTATTCGAGGGACCTAACAACCCCAATTTCCGAAACTAAAATAAATTTCTTCATTTCGGAGATATGTGCAGCGGGAGTATTAAATGGCACACCCTGTATATTTGTTCCAAAGCATTAGATATAAATTTGTAAAATAGAAATATATCGTGATGTGAATATTTGTAAAGCTGTTTTTGTATTGCGATAAAATGCATCTTTAGTACAACTGGACTGGAATTTCAGGTGACAATTGAAATGAGCATATAAAAAAAAGATCGCACTTGGTGTGACCCACAGGGGGTCCGCTTCCAACTACGCATTCTACTCTTAGGGCTGAAATGAATTTCAATTTTAAACTATTCATAATGTCATGTATTCACACAACAAGTGAGAATGTGATTTGATATTTTAACAGAAGCAACTGTAATTGTACAAGTATCGATTCAAATATTAATAAACGGTTCATATTTTGGCCCAATCATAAGCCAAAAAAAGCCGCTGTAAATATTTCACATTTTCCTAAGCTTGTCGCTATTTTTAATAAAACAGGAATAGAGCACCCTTATAGACAAAAATAAACGTTTGATCCACCTTATAACATTTATTTTATGAAAAGTTTTTGTAATAGAAGGGCTATGAGAAGTTTTTGATAAAATATCTGTCGAAGAGTATTGTAATATTCTAGAGAAAAGCGGTCGCGATCTCGGCAGAATGTTAATATCGATGTTTGATTTTTAGTGGTAAATTCTATAAGCGCCGAGATATTTTGTTGCTCTCGGTAAAGAATCCAGCTTTGCCTGCTGTCTTCTGGGATTTATTATAATATCTTATATCTAGCATGCGGCATTGTTCTTCTATTTAGATATTCCCTCTGGAACAAAACTGTTTCAACGGGAGTACGTATAAAATATACGTTGATTAACTACAGAGAACCCGATTAGCTCACGCGGGTTGCGTTTATATCAATTTTTCGTTGAATTTTCCACTTCACCTTTGTTCACAGCTTTGGAAAACAGTTTGTTTGCACGATTCAATATTCAAATGTATAAGGTATGATGACAAACTGAAGCTTTTTTATAAACCTATAATCGTTTATAAATAAAATATAATTTCATGTAGAAGCAGTGGAGGAGATGTGGCCTATTGGAGGGTTTTTATCTAAAAAAATCCCTGGCATCTTCTGTAAAGTAGGTAATATATTTTTCTAAAAATTTAGAGGACTAAATAATTGCATTCGGTATCAATAACTTGTACTATTTTAGAGATAATTGTTAATAAACATTTTTATACAATGTTGATAAATTTATAAAATCCCAGTGCCAAGGATTGCTTTCTAAATGATCGCTGGTAAACGAAATACCAAAAAAATTATGCCTAGATTGATATTTATTGTTTTTCAATATACAATAAGTCCATACCACTATCCTTCTTTTATCTAATAATATAGAGACAGAGGGGGGTTACTTAAATAAGAAGCATTCTGTAATAATATGTTCATTATGATTGAATTTTCTACTAATATTATTCTTCATAGGATTCATTCGCAAAAGTTAATTTACGGGTGGCAAGATACTCAAAGATGCGGAGAAAGAATTAAATATACTATCAAAAAATAATTTAATATGTCATAATATATTCACCTTAAAGCATTTGTCTATAATTTCAGTTAAAACCATTAGAGGATTATACAAATTTATGTCCTATAAGTCCCTTAACAAACTATACATGTTCCCAGTGTATACTCGTGGTGCATTGGTGTGTGAGAATTGACTTAATCGAATAGATTGATTGAATACATAATACATTCCATTATTCGTAATACGATTATGAAATTAGCTGAAACAACTAATACCTACTCATTATAGCGCAAGAATTCCGAATCCCGTTTAATAATATTTAACATCACTAATTTTAAACAATGATTAAATTAATTAAAATTGCAAAAGAAATACACATACGTAAGTATGATGGGGAGAAATTAATACAATCTTGAAATAAGAATACAATCAAGTAAGAACATCGTTAAAAATGGTTAACATTTTTTTCTTTACGTATCACATATAGCATTTTGCTGCTACTAGCAAATGCCAATAAATGAGAAATTTTAACGCCACCTTGATATAATATTCCAGTTTTTCAAGCAAATCTATTCTA